TTTATCCATAGGTTAATTAAAATTTCAATTGAAGCATTCTAAAAAAAAATCAATTAAAGCATGAATTAGGATAGTGTCATATTAAAAGTAGAATTGTGACAAAATAAAAAAGATGATAAAACATTATGACATTGGGTGTTTCATGGAAAAAAAATAAAATAAAAATTAGATGGGGCGCTGTAGCATTCTACATGGGTCTGCCCCTAGCCTTATTTGGCTGGTTCTCTTTCCGTTAAATCTATTCTTGATTTTTCTCAAGGTTCAAAATAGTGTAGTCCAATTTTACTTCCACCTAGTTCAATCATATGCTAAATACAACATTAATAAACATTTGCAAGTCTCATAATTTAAATTAAATTAGTTTGTTAGTCTATTAAAATTAGAATTGATAACCTTGAGACAAAATTTGCTCCAATACATTACTATATTTGATTTTTGTTAAATGATAGTATGTATATATATAATTTCATTTCATTAATCAATAGATAACAGTTGGTTGGAGAACATGAATCTATGGATTAATTTGGTTTATTCATCTTCTAAATGAACTTAATTATATTGAAACACATGCTTTTATGCATAATATCGAGCTGACCTATTGAATGATAATATTATCATGGTTGGATGATTTAATTTTTAGCCTATTTATAGCATGATTGTTTTCAATGTAGAAATACTTTTATGAATAATTATGTTATAAGTTTGTTATTATGAAACTAGTGTAGTGTTAGCTTATAACAAAATAATAATAAATTTTAAATAAATAAATAAATGTATTATTTGCATACGTCTCATTCATATTATTTTAAAGGGAGAAAAATGTTGTTTTATAGTCAATTACAAAAATATTGTCAAATGTGGTCATAACATTCGGAAAATATATGTGAGGAAAATGCGTTTGGATCATAATCAATCTAAACCTTAATGAATATGAATGCTAGTTGTATTTTACATATTTGGCACTTCCTTATGTGTTTTTTCTTGTTGAATTTTTTTAGTGAACACCATTTATTTATCTACAATCCATGTGTGAAATTTCAAATCATTAGGATTAATATGGGTTCTTATTTAAATAATCTTGTTGGTTATTGTAGTGTTAGTTGTTATAATTGAATTTTTTACTCCTATAATTATTTTATAAACAACTTTTATTTTTATGTTTTTTTATTTTACAGGTTGTCCATGAATTTTTTTTTATCATTATTTTTGTTTTACCATTAACCTTTAAAGTTTGGTTTAATTTTATAAAATAAAAAAAATGATGATGAAAATGAAACAAAAATAAAAAAAAATGAGAAAAGAAAAAATACAAAAAGAATTTGATCAATTCTCCTTTTGTCAATTTATTTCATCTCTTTTATCATAAATTCAAAAAAAAAAAAAGTAAAAAAGAATACAAAAAGAGGATTTAATTTCACATTCTAGGGTTTCAATTGTAATTAATTAAAAAAATATTGTTGGCCAATTCACAAGTATTAGAAACATTTGAAAAGCAATAAAAAAGGGAATTAAGTGTTAATTGATAAGAATTGAAACTAGAACAATCAAAATAACTTGCTCGAAGGATTTAATTGAAGAGAAATTGAGACGCGAAGGGACAAATTTTAAACAAATAAGCGATTGACGTAAAAAACTTGAAAAAAAGTTCCGAACGATTTGTCATCTCGTTTGCTTATTTTCAACCACTCTACCATTGTTCACTTCTTTCTCTTCATGAACCTATACTTAAAACAAAAGAGTTGAAAGACAAATGAAGGGCTGCGATTTGATTTTGGACTATCTTCAATAGCCGGCTTTGTACCGACTAATCCATTTTGCCCCTATTCAAGGATAAGATATGAAAGTAAACACTTACGTGTAATACACTATATTAGCCAAATAAGATAGCAACCGAGAAGCCTTTTGAATTTCTTCACCACCACTAATCATCACAACTATAAAAAATATGCATTTAATTTGTTGGAGGCATAACATAAAACCCGAATCGGAAGAGGTAACATGTTCATCCAATTGCAAATAAGCACAAATATCATGTGTCTTTTAGAGAGAGAGAGAGAGAATGCAATTGCCACATTGTGTTGTTTGAATGTTGAATTCATCTTGCAACATAAAATGAGTAGAGGCCATTGAATTTACAAAGCAAAGGAATACATGGGAATTCAAACATAATCCTATGGTTAGTCATATCATAATTATAGGAATAAGATTCCATGGCAGTGCATAACAACATATAATGCTATTTAAACCCATAAAACCAACTAAAACTCGTTAATCAACATTCATTATGGAAAGTTCCATTATAGTTTCTAGATGTATCAAGCTAAAACATGTTGATTGTTGTGAGCATAAAAGCATGTCAAGAACCATCTTAGGTTCTTATCAATGAAGAAACACATTGATGATCCCTCCTTCCTCTTTTTGCTTGCCTATTTCACTATTGTAGAGTTCATGCTTCCAAAAGAGATAATGTCGTATTCTATGGTAGTTTGGCTAAACTAAATGGAGAAGGATATATATTTAGTCAATTATCAAGAATCAATAAAAAATATCACCGTGAAAAATCACTTATTGTGGTATACTATATGATTGATGTACAACTTAATTTGAAATTGCTTCAATCGTGAACGGGAAAGAATCTAACATGCTATAATATGCTAGCTAGGTGAAGAGTTCTAGAAACAAAAATCTTGTAACATTCAAAACTACTTCCTACTTCACAACTTATACAAATAAGTCTAAGTTCCATTACAAATAAGTCTAAGTTCCATTTCAATATCGTCCAAACATCTTGTAAGTATATAGGAGCTTAATGTTTTAAAAATTAAGATAAAATCATTGGCATATAAAATAAAATATAAAATAATTAAAATCCCACTAATAATTTTAATCATCCAATCATCATGCCGAGCTTCTTGAATGGGTTATGAACAGTTTGTAGAAGATGTCTAACTTCGAGTTCGTGTTTATTCTTGCATAGGTTGTGAATTAAAAGAAAATGTAAGACTTTGGAAAATACATTGATTAGATTGGGATTCATCCTTAACAATCCTCAATCCATGCAAAGTCTTCGATCCTCGAACCATGTCTAATAATACAACATATCACTTGATATTAAAATTATGAATCAACACAAGATCAATCAAAATTAAAGCAATACTAAAAGTTTTGAAATTAAAAACATAAGAGTTATAACCAGATACCCCTTCTTTAGGTACTCTAACTCTACATCATGATTGTAAATCTCGTAAACGTATTGGGAAAATTCCATACCTTTCGTGACCTCTCATTTTAGGTAGTGTAAATAAAGCCAAATGTGTAATACAAGCAATGAGAAAGTCATTTTAAACATCTTCTCTAAGTTGAATACTGTATGAAGATTAGGGCAAAAATTTTTATATACAATACCGTAAAGAAATAATATTTTATTTAATTAGAATTTCGTAGTGACTTCTATTAGAAAGCAAGAAGACAAAAATAAGAAAATTTTGAAAAGGATGCCCTAAAATTAAAGGAAATTGACAATTTAAAAACAACAAGTGGATTATTTATGACAATATATCATAAAATGCTTAAACCCATGATAACCTCAATCACACAAACTTGTAGGCTGAATCGATCCATTTAAATAATAAAAAAGAAAAGGAAAAATAGAGGGTAAGACCAATATTATTGTTTCCACTATGAGCAAGAGCATGAAACCGAACTCACTTTCATAAATGGCAACTTTATCTACTTGTGAAACAATTTGTTAGTACACCACATTGGTGCCTCAAATAGACTTGCATTGTTTACTATAAAATAGCAATAACTTGAGCACAAAATGACTTATTCCCTCATACTTAGGCTCTTCCATTCTAAGTGGAGAGTCGGAGCCAAAGCCAAAGAACAAGGTCGAAGTCGAAAATTTTTATCCTAACTCACATGTTAAAAAAAAAACATCATTTTAATCCCCCCATCGAGAAGCTAACTTAACTTCATTCAAAAAAGTCAAAACTCTCTACCCCATTATAATTTTTGTACTCATCCGAACTAGAAAGAAATCAATCTTAAACAAAACTAATTGATAGAAAGTATGGAAAATTAGAAATGGAGGTTTACATATAATTGGAGAATACAACTTCAAATTTCATCAATAGTCGATTTAACTCAAATTTTTACAACACATATATGTGTAGGATTTCATAGATATGCCACTACTACATACCGTCATAACTTAACCCAAACCCATTCAACTTATTAACCCATTGGGATCACTCTATAATCTAGTAACCATAGAAAACATCGAACGTACTTGTAATAGTTTATAAATGTTGACTCGAAGGCTATCAAATGATTGTGTCTTCGAACCAAACCAAGGCATTATGATACAACATAACCTATCCTATATAATTAAGGAGCTTAATCTAATTAAGAAAGAGCTCTCGACTAATAAGAGCGTCCGGAGAGAGAAAGTAGAGAGAGATGCTTTCCTCCATGAGAGAAACTTCCTCCCGACCGGTTGCCACCACTACTCGGTTCTCCTTCCCCTCCACCTTCCACCGATTTTTCATCCTCTTGCAACCTTCTCTTCTTTGTCCCTCTCGCCCTTCTCCCCCGTGTTTCGTTATCTAAGTTTCTATTCACCATCCCCTTCATTTTTTCTCTTTCCTCGACTTTTTCTCTTCCTTCCCCCTCACTTTCGACCGATTATTGGCAAAGAAGAAGAAGAAATTGGCCACCGTACTCCTTTCCACCACAGGGCGACATGATCCGATAGATTCGGTGCTAGCATTAGCGGCCCCATCCGGTCCTTCCTCTTCTCTATCTACCATTTTTACTATTCACGGAAAAGGAAAAACTCAATTTGTGGTCGCCGAGAAGAAGGTCGGGATTCGATCAGTCGTTGAGAATCCACATACAAAGAGCTTGACCTCCTTTTTAGCCTTAAAGGAAGCTACTTCTTCCTTCACTCGGATCGGATCCGGTCGGTAATTCAAATTCCCGTCGAAAGAAATTCAAAAATGGTTTTCCCGCTCGAGGGGATCAAAAGCTTGAGCACTAGCCTACCGCCGAGACTCCAACTAACGGGAAGCCGAGCTCCTCCTCCGACTCCAGCCTTATCTTCCTCCTCTTCCTCTAGATCGAACTACCCTACTCGGAGGACCGGACCGTCTTCCCCTCCCCTTGCTCCTCCAGGTAACTATGAACACCCTCCCGGAAAATGGAGGACCTTATTTGCTAGCAATTGTAGCACAAAATCTTGCTCGAAGCTTACACATTTCACCGTTATAATTGTTTCTAAATCATGCACATTACTTGATGATGATCCAAAATATGAACTATGAAAGAAATGTTTAGTTGGTTATGTGGTCGGAAAGTCCCCCGGTTATAGGGCGTAGAACGAATTATCGCTACCGATTGAAAATGCGAGGCCTCCTTGTCCATTCATGATTCCGGTAGTACGAATCTTACCCGAAGCTTACACATTTCATTGCTATAACTCGCTTCTAAATCATGCATATTACTTAATGATAATCCAAAATGTAAACTATGGAAGAAATGTTTGGTTGGTTATGTGGCTGAAAAGTCCCTCGGTTATAAGGCGCCGAATGGAATTATCGCTACTAATTGAAAATGCGATGCCTCTTTGTCCATTCATGATTTTGTTTGGCTGGTTTATAAATTTGAATTTGAGGAGGCTAAATCTTCCGTGCTTAATTGGGGACCATACTTGATCTTCGACGGATCTTTACTCTTGAAGCTTATGCTCGAATTTTTTGACTTCTCTAGCGAAGAAATATCTATGGTGCTAGTTTGGGTGAAGTTTCGAACCTTCTCCTTAAATGCTCGGTCCCTATTGTGCCTCTCTAAAATTGCTAGTGTTCTTAAGAAACCCATTCAATGTGATCGCTTAACGACCATAATGGAAATGATATTTTATGCTAGGGTCTTGGTTGAGTTGAACATCATAGAGGATTTACCGAGAGTGGTCAACATTGGGCTTCCGAATGGTTCCACGCTACTTCGATCCGTCATTTATGAAACATTACCCACTCATTGCAAGGTCCGTTGTGTTCGGGGCATTCAATTGCCAATTACGCCAAACGCTCGTCCGAGGGCCAAACGTTTACTTTCATTGATCATGTTAAAGCGAATGAATGCTCTAGTGATGAGGATTTGGCCTCCGAATTTGCTAGTTTGGAGGAAGAACCGGATCTAGCTGAAAATTCAAATTCTCGCTTAAACTTTTTAAAATTTAGACTTCCCGCCTATGGAGAGAAAAAGGTCGGGATTCGGTCGGTTGTTGAGAATCCACCTATAGGGAGCTTGACCTCCTCTTCCGCCTCGGGGAAGCTACTTCTTCCTCCACTAGATCGATTTGGCTTGTAATTCAAATTCCCGCCCAAAGAAATTCAAAAATGGTATTCCCACTCAAGGGGATCGAAGCTTGAGCACCGACCTACCGCCGAGACTCTAACTAACAAGAAGCCGAGCTCCTCCTTTGACTCCAGCTCATCTTCCTCCGGATCGGATTGCCCTACTCGGAGGACCGGACTTCCTTCCCCTCCAACTCGCTCCTCCAAGTAACTCTAAACACCTTCCCGCAAAATGGAGGGCCTTATTTGTTAGCAATTGTAGCACGTAATCTTACCCAAAGCTTACACATTTCAATGCTATAATTGCTTCTAAATCATGCACATTACTTGATTATGATCCAAAATGTGAACTATGAAAGAAATATTTGGTTGGTCATGTGGCTAGAAAGTCCCCCGGTTATAGGGCGTTGAACGAAATTATCATTACTAATTGGAAATGTGAGGCCTCCTTGTCCATTCATGATTCTAGTAGCATAGAATCTTGCCCGAAGCTTACACATTTCACTACTATAATCGCTTCTAAATCAAGCACATTACTTGATGACGATCCAAAATGTGAACTATGAAAGAAATGTTTGGTTGGTTATGTGGTCGGAAAGTCTCCTATTTAGGGCGTCGAACGGAATTATCGCTACTAATTGGAAATGCGAGGTTTCTTTGTCCATTCATGATTCCGGTTGGTCGGTTTATAAATTTGAATTTGAGGAGGCTAAATCTTTTATGCTTAATGGGGGCCCATACTTGATCTTCAATAGATCGCTACTTTTAAAGCCTATGCCCGAATTTTTTGACTTCTCCAACGAGGAAATATCTACGGTGTCGGTTTAGGTAAAGTTTTTGAACCTTTCCCTTAAATGTTGATCCCCGTTATGCCTCTCTAAAATTGCTAGTGTTCTTGGGAAACCCATTCAATGTGATCGCTTAACAACCATAAAAGGAAAGGATAACCTATGCTAAGGTCTTGGTTGAGTTGAACATCATGAAGGATTTACCGAGAGTGGTCAACATTAGGCTTCCGAATGGTTCCATGCTCGCTTTAATCCGTCATTTATGAAACACTACCCATTAATTGTAAGGTCGGTCGTGTTCGGGGCATTCGATTACCAATTGTGCCAAGCGCTCGTCCGAGGGCCAAACGCCTACTACCAATATTACTACTCGGATTAGAGCTAGGCGCCGGTGTGCTTCCTAAACAGGGGCATATTGTTGCTACCACCAATAATGCCTTAGTCCGTGATGTTCGAGCTGATCCGATGTGTTCGGAGGTGGTTGTTGGCTCTAGAGAGTGGGAGACGATTAAAGGTAAGGCTCGATAGAACGCTCGGCATCAACAAAACACTCCCGCCCCGATTCGACAAACATAACCAATTCCGTCTAAGCCGATTACTCGAGCCACTTAGGGAACCCCCTTGGAAACTCCCAAGAGGACGAGCCTTATTGATTTCGCGAGTACCGATGGTTAGGGTCCTATGAATGGTACAACTCGGGTTTCACTTTGTGTGGAGTAGAATGACCTATGTAAGTCGGCCGAAACCGGGGTTGGGATTGTTAGCCACGGTGAATGCCTCAATGACAAAGATGGGTTTGTCGGTAGCATTGATGCTCGGCGAAGATATGGTCGCGATGGTTATCGTGGCCGAACAACATCTAATGGGGTTCGGTCGAGTTCTCATGTGGCTTCCACTCGCAACAAAAGTCATGGCGCTTGTAGAGAAGGTAGGGGGCTCTCCACCTCTTCAACCGCCCTATGTTAATCTTCACTTGGAATGTTAGGGGTCTAAATAATCCCCTAAAACGAGCATGAGGTTGTGTGCCTCGGGAGAAAAGAAAGTCCGAATGTTTGTGCTCTAGTTGAAATAAAGCTTAGCCTCCCCAAGATTTCACAAATGCACAAGCTTTGGTCGAAGCGTTGGAGGTACACCTTTAATCCCTCTATGGCCTCTAATGGTCGAATTATCTTATTTTGGAATCCGGATACAGTTCAACTTGATATTTTGGATGCCTCGGCTCAAGGTCGCATGTAAAGATAAAGAGCCTTGTTCTTCGGACGGCCTTTCATGTAATTTTTATCTACGGCTATAACACTATTATTCGAAGGCAAGAGCTTTGGGCCGACCTCTCGTAGATGGCACACCACCGGTCTATGGATTGTCTTAGGCGATTTTAACTCGGCTCTCTCTGCAGCTAATAAGCATAATGGTGTTAATGTCACCGCCTACGAGACTTTTGACTTTCGCTCTCGTTGCTTGGACCTAGGCCTTAGTGACCTTAATTACTCGGGTAGTCACTTCACTTGAAATAGTGGTAGCGTACTGGACGAAGATTGATTGAGTCCTTTCTAACCCACACCGGCCTACCTTCTAACGACTCGTTTTTGTTCACTTTTTCCCTCCAAAAGCCTTCTCGGATAATGCTCGACCTTCTCCTTCCGATCGTAAATGTTTCAAGTTTTTCAATATGTGGGCTCGGCATGACAATTTCCTCTTGATAGTTGAGCTTTACGGGCGGTGTCAAACTAGGGGCAGCCGAAACAGCCTCCGAAACTTTTGAATTCGGTTCACTTTATTCATATCTCCGAGCGGGTCTCTCATGTCATTACTAATCTCGAAAACCTTCGGCAGTCTCTCCGAGCATGATCGGGATAGTACCTTTCTTCTCGAGCAAAAGCGTCTCTCGTGGCGAGAACTTGGCTCGTCTAAAATTAATGGAGAAGATGTTCTTTGGCCAAAAGCTCAAATGCAAATTCCTTGAGGAGAGTGATAAGGGCAACTGGTACATCCATACCCTTATGAGCCAACGTCACAAGCGCAACTTCATTGCCTCCATCCAAGGCCACACTCGGGGACGTTACCACTTCGTTGTTGGTCTGTTGGGGTCGTGTTTGTCGACTACTATCGAATTTGCTTAGGTCTTCTCGGGACACTCTTCCCCTCGATGCTTCGGTGGTTGCTATGGGGCCTCGACTTAAACCAAGCAGCTTCTAAAATGTTGCTTGCCCTTGTCTCTAATGATCAAATTAAGGAGACTTTTTTTAGGATAAATAATGACAAAGCCTCGAGGCGGGATGGGTTCTTCAAAAGAGTTTGGGGAATTGTTGGGGCTGATTTCGTGCTACGATTAAGGACTTCTTCACTTCGGGAAAACTCCTAAAATAGATTAATCATTTAGTTATTGCCTTAGTGCCCAAATCGGTAAATACTCCTACTCCCTCGGATTATCGGCCTATCTCTTGTTGGAATGTTGTGTATAAGGTGATCTTTAAGATTCTCTCATTTCGATTAGCCTTGGCTCGAAAGAAATTGTGAGTCCCTTGCAAAATGCATTCTTAGGGGCGGACGATTTCGGATAACATACATCTTCTTTAGAAACTTCTTCAGCGAGTATGGGCGTAAGCGAGCCTCTTCTCGATGCCTTCTAAAGGTGATTTTTAGAAGGCTTTTGACTCGTGCGGTGGACCTTCTTACGCAACCTTCGGTGCAGCTTGGCTTTCCAAATCTCTTCACCCACCGGGTTATGGCATGCGTTGAGTCCTCCTCCTACTCCATTGTTGTTAATGGTAACCTCTTTGGGTTCTTTCCAAGAAAAACGGGCATTTGGCAAGGTGATCCCTTTTCCCCTTACTTATTCATTGCTTGCATGGAATACTTTTTTCGCATGCTCTAGCAAATTTCAACTACTGCCGACTTCGCATTCCACCCCAAATGTGAGCCTCACTCGCATTACACACATTGCCTTTGCTTGACGATGTTATGCTTTTAAGTCGTGGAGATAGGACTTCGGTTATGCGTTTGGCTCAATAGCTACGGACTTTTGGCCGTACCTCCGGGCTCCATGTCAATCCTGCTAAATCCTTCATTTATTTTAGGGGTAAGCAATAGCCTCAAGCTGGACTCCGTCGTGAGATACCGATTTCTCGAAGGTGTCTTTCCTTTTCGCTATCTTGGGGTTCCCTTAAGCCTCCACGAGTCGTTGGCTAGCCAATTTTTGCCTTTGCTAAACTATTTAGAGTCCGCAATTCAATCATGGCTGGATAAGCATCTCTCTTATGTCGACGGACTTAAGCTTCGCGATCCGTCTTGACCGGGTTGATTCGGTTCTAGCTTAGTATCTTCCCGATTCTCGCTTTGGTTATGTCTCGTATTACCGGTATATGCGGGAACTTCTTATGGATTGGGAATATGAATAAAAGCCACTCGGCTCTCGTTGTTTGGCGACAGCTCGCTACCCTAAAAATGCAGGAGGTATCAACCTATAGGATTTCGAGTCCTCAACTCTTGCTTCCTTGCTAAGTAGCTCTAGAATATACATAGAAAATCGGACTCTATCTGGATTCAATGGATCCATTACTTCTACTTGCAAGATCGGTGTGTATGGGAGGCGAAGCTCACCGAACGACATCGCCAATGTGAAAATCTATTCTATCCCTAAGAGACACTCTAGTTGGGAAATTTGGGGACTTGCAACTAGTGATTGGCCAACCGGAGTCTTGGGGCCTCGACACTTTCTCCCGCAATGCTTATGATAATCTTCATCCCCGGGGTGAACTCGTTAGTTAGGCTCGGGGAGTTTAGGAACCTTGGGTATTGCCGCAGCATTCGTTCATTCTTTGGCTTGCGGTTTGAGGAAAGCTCAAAACTATTGATCGTCCGCCATATGTTTTGGTCGACTCTCACCGTGCTCTCTATAGAGTCGGGCTAGAATCACATAGTCATCTCTTCTTCGAATGCTCTCGGACCTCTTCTTTGTGGGCTAAGATCGGATTTTGGTTGGGTATTTGGTGGAATATGTCTACACTCTCCAGGTGCTCCGAGAGGCCTCTCCAATCGGAGGAAAATTTAAAAGCTAAGATGCGCCGAGTCTTATTGGGGGTAATAGTTTATATTATTTGGGAGGAATGCAACCAAATGCACCTTCGAGACCTCACTCGCCTTGCTATATTGATAAGGCCTTTAGGCGGTTCTAGATTCTCTTCTTTATGATTCTCCACTTTCATGAGGCGGCCTCTGCCGCTCT